ATAAATTATCAATGAGACCTTTTGTTTCTGACTGATATGAAAGGAGATAGAATAGATTTTATTACCTAGATAGAACATAAACTTGAGTTATTAAATTTATTATTGTTTATAACATAGAGCCCTTACAGCCTTTTACATCACTGGTCTAAATCCTTGGGGAGAGTGATTAGCTCAGCGAGGTTGCTTGCTGGCGTAGGTCAAGATAATGCCTTTTTTAAACATGGTTTTCTCACGTCTGTAGTACACTTTGAAGGGACTGACATGGAAAGTGTCCAGTCTTCGTGTGACAATAAACCGAGGGCCCTGTTTGTCACAAGCTGTGTAGGTTAAGAGATCCCCTAAAAGTTGTTATATGTGCAAGAGTTTGTAAATTCTGCAGCAAATTTCAAAGTAAACTCTTAAAAAAAATGGTTGCATTGACAATGAATAAATACCTTGATATTATTCATGTGTAACATTGTATCAATTATAGTTCTATGTTTTAAATTATTATATTTATATTACTGGTCTACTAATTATAAGTTTTAAATTTTACATAGAATAAACTAATTTTCAAAATATATATACACGCAAGACAATTCAGTCAATCAAGATCTTGTCAAAATCACTGCATTTGCAAAATGTAATACATGAAAGGTGGCTATTGCAGTCAAGGTATTAGATGAAGTTAGTAATAGCTTGACATTATGAAAATAAAGTTTGTAATAGCTTGACATTGTGACGATGAAGTTTGTAATAACTTGACATTGTAAAGATGAAGTTAGTAATAGCTTGACATTGTGAAAATAAAGTTTGTAATAGCTTGACATTGTGAAGATGAAGTTTGTAATAGCTTGACATTATGAAGATATAGTTTGTAATAGCTTGACATTATGAAGATGTGTCAAGGTATAAGACGAAGTTAATAATAGCTTGACATTGTGAAGATGTAGTTTGTAATAGCTTGACATTGTGAAGATGAAGATCTATATAGCTTGACATTGTGAGGATGAGTCTACGATTCTGTTTTGAAAATCATCTGCTACAATTCTATGTTTGACATTATAAAGATGAAGTTGGTAATAGCTTGACATTGTGAAGATGAAGTTTGTAATAGCTTGACATTGTGAAGATGAAGTTGGTAATAGCTTGACATTGTGAAGATGTAGTTAGTAATAGCTTGACATTGTGAAGATGAAAGTTGTAATAGCTTGACATTGTGAAGATCTAGTTTGTAATAGCTTGACATTGTGAAGATGAAGTTTGTAATAGCTTGACATTATGAATATGTAGTTTGTAATAGCTTGACATTATGAAGATGTAGTTTGTAATAGCTTTGACATTGTGAAGATGAAGTTTGTAATAGCCTGACATTGTGAAGATGAAGTTGGTAATAGCTTGACATTGTGAAGATGAAGTTTGTAATAGCTTGACATTGTGAAGATGAAGTTAGTAATAGCTTGACATTGTGAAGATGAAGATCTATATAGCTTGACATTGTGAAGATGAGTCTACGATTTCTGTTTTGAAAATCATCTGCTACATTTCAATGATTGATATCGATGAATACCTCCACACATATTGTTATTTAACAAATACCAGACGTCCCTGATAATATCTTTATTTTATTATTCCTCACAACTTTCATTAAAAATGACATGAATTACTGTTTGATAATAATTAATATAAAACTAGCATTACAAATTATATTTCAGTTAGATTCCACGTGAAGGTTTTTCGTTCAAATGGACATGTTTTTCATTTCTTAAAGGGATTGTAGCGAGATTTTATAAATTTTCTATGTGTATCAGAACACTGTTAGCATCAATTTGCATCATTCCAATTTTCAATTAGACGTCTGTGGCTCCTGCAATTCCACAAAAACTAAGTGTTTGATGATGTCAT